GTGGGTGTGGGTGTGGGTGTGGGTGTGGGTGTGGGTATGGGTGTGAGTCTGGAGTGTGGGTTTGGCTGCGACTGTGGGTGTGGGTGTCGGTGTGGGTGTGGGTGTGGGTGTGGGTGTGGGTGTGGGTATGGGTGTGAGTCTGGAGTGTGGGTTTGGCTGCGACTGTGGGTGTGGGTGTCGGTGTGTGTAGGGGTGGGGGTGGGGGTGGGGGCGGGGTTATTTATCGCATCCACACCCATACCCACACCCGCACTCAAACCCCTCACATCCACGTCTACACCCATATCCACATCCACATCCACACCCACACCCACACCCACCCACACCCACCCACACCCACCCACACCCACCCACACCCACCCACACCCACACCCACCCACACCCACACCCACACCCACACCCACCCACACCCGCACTCACACCCACATCCACCCACACGCACAGCCGCCTCATCATCTTTCTTTTCATCATCTCTTATTCTACTTGTGCATATAAATGTGTGCTTTATATGTAAACGATACGATTGTATGATATGAAGAAATAGAATAAAATCTAATACCATCAACACTAACATCACTTCTTTCATCAATCGTCACAAGACGATTAAATGATGTGAAGGAATGAAATAAAATGTATTACTGTTTCACACCAATACCCCTTCCATCGTCATTTATTTGCGCCACACATTGATTCACATGTTTGGTTCACTTCTGTAGACTCAAAAACAATTGATATGGCTGATACAGACGACTTAAGCGCACTCACAAAAAGTAGAGTATTAGACTTGGACTCAAACCCGAGAATTTTTGAAGAACTCCAAGTGTTCATTGAGTTTTCTAGTATAACATTCTTCTTTGATGACAAACAGTTAGCACATAGCGTCATCTATCATTTTTTCTAAAAATGGCCAGCACAATACTTAGCAGAAATTATTAGTCTTATTACGCTAATTCTAAGTATATATATATATATATAGATCCTATTCTATGACTTATTCATAACAAATATTCGCACAGTACATTTAGAAATAGCCACTAAAAGATAAGCGCATTCATTTCATCAGTCAGTAGATTAATTTATGTTTTGTAACTGTGTGATAATCGCTTGGCTGCACATATTTTTTCGTTTAGATAAGAAGCAAAGAAAAGAAAAGTAACATGTGAGTAGTCAAAAATAATCATTAACAATCATTTTTTTTATGACAATACATATTTGCATTTGTCTTCAATATTTTTCAGGGCAGAATACTTAAAACAAATATCCGATGGTTGATAGAAACCCTTTGTTAAATACATCCAGTAAATTGTCCATTAGTGATGATGATGATGCTAATAGAAACAAGAAACAACTTTTGACCAACAGGTATGATATAATGAATAATTAACTTCGAGAAAAATTCAATGAATTTACCATTATTTGCAGTTTTTTTGATTGGCGCAAATGTTTCCGTAGAAAAGAGACCAATAATGGATATATAAGATTGGACGATGATACTAAACATAGCAATAATAATAAACCAGTTTTTGTTCTTCGCTTAGTAAATATATTCAGACACAGTACAATTGATGTATTCGATTTTATTGTAGTTTCGGTTTGCGAATGGTATCGATATTGTTTGGATGTTCATTTCTATATGTTTGATATCACTGCAGTCGGCTTGCATTGTTGCTAAACAAGTTTTATCTGCTCGACTCATAGGATTATTTGCTATTGAATCATTTGGTGATAATTGTGATCATCAATACCAAAATTTAATAGCTTCAATTAAGAATAACAATACATATCATCAAGGCATGGAGCTCAATATATTCAACAATACTCTATTGCATAAGTAATTCACTAAAAACTATTATTAGTTACCAAGTATTTCTTCTATTTTCCTTTGACATTTTGTCATCTTAGGCCGCATCATAATACTGATGTAATTTTGTTATCAACCTTAGCAACATTAATGCCTTCATTTAGAGAAAAAGTTATGAATCTAGTTCACTGGTTATTCAGTAAGTGCAATGAACGTCATAATTTGATTATAATTCATAATGAATGTGGTCTTTTCTCTCTGTTTATGTAGTTACTGGTGCTGTCGAATTTTTGGTTGCCTCGATAGATGATTTCATTTGGACTATTACTGTGAAACGACAGATGTGTAATATGAATATTTCTCTCTTTCGATCGCTTGTTCAACGGGTATATTAAATACACTTTCATTTATAAAAGAGTTTTCTTCAAAGTTTAATCCCAGTCCTTTCTTAATGTCACTAAAAATTTATAACATCTTATGCTGTTTCTTTTCAAGAAAAAGCTCATCATTCACAGATTAACAACTCTAGCAAACCTATCAAATAAGCTAAAGTATCTAGATAAAAGTAATAGAGATACATAGAGACGCCTATATTTTTAGATTTTCTAGATCGAAAAATAAGGATTCAGAGCAATAGTACAAATGTATCCATAACCTTCTTGTCATCCATATAATACTTGCGTTCTTAGAGCTGATACAAATATAACCCTCTTGAAATTTTATGAAGCAATGGCGGTCATTTGTTGTCTTTTAAAGGATTTTCCACTTCAGTAGATAATGGTTTCACAGTTATGAAGACAGGCATCTTCATTATTGATAACTTTTCAAATTGTAAAACTAGGAATATTTCTCGAAAACTGAAGTTCGAATAGTGTAATTCTAAAACGATACTAAAGAAATATTAACAAACTTTTGTAGTTATTTCAATTGTACTATTCATTTTCTGAATTACCATGTAAGAAAACGATCTTAGTCTACTCATAAATGAACTAATTCAACTCGGACTAGGCACTTCTATCTATGGAAGTTCAAGTGAAACTGAATCGATGTACAAAGAAACTTCTGTAGATGTTCCCTTTCGATTTCAATGATTTTTTTGTCAATAGATAGTATATACTATTCAATTAAAAAAAATTTAAAATGATTTCATTTTCTATTGAGACATTGCGGAGCTGTTCGATGCTTAAAATGTTTGTTTGCTGGAAACCCTTTAGGGTCCCTAGTTGTCGGAAAATTTTGTTTTAAAACTATCTCCACCTGAAGGTCTCATGTGCAGCAACTTGTATGAAGAGTTTCAGAGCTCGTAGTTTTTTAATCTTCGAGATGGAGACTCTTGAAAATATTCTTGTATTATTTATTACTCTTTCAAACGTATCTAGTTTTGAAAAACTCTTTACTCGGAGATACGAAATCTATGAACTCTGAAACTCTTCATAAAAGCATCTGTATATGAGACCTTCAAATAGCGATAGTTTCAAGAAAAAATTCAATAACAGAAATTCTCAGAGAGCTTGGGACTCTATTGAGACCTATGGCAAATAGATATACTAAAAATTCGATAGCTTCGCTAAATTTCAAGAAAAACTAAAATCTTTTTAGGGTCTCTCCTAGAATACTATCTAGTGTCTACAGGTGAACAGTCATTGAAATCAAAAGAAGATATCTTTGGAGGTTCGCTGATTAAATTATTATTATAGTAGAACTTGATAATTGATGGATGCAGTCGAACTGGAGTTGGACTTAATAGATTTTTATCAATCAAGATAAAATTTCTGTTAACTTAGTAATCCTGTCAAGTGGAACTTAAAAAAATCTAACATAGAAAACATCGATTACAGAAGCTAATGCAAAAGTATTCAATTTTATCAAGTTAAATCGGATAGAGCATAACTTTTGCACTCAGAGTTGCAGTAATATCGCCAAAAAACCTATATTGGTGTTGGATTTTAATTCAAAAGACATGAGTGCAGTTAGAGCGACACTTAGCTGAGTTTGTCCATCTCTAACTATTTCTCTTTCTATATGTTTAGAGCATTTCTTATATGGAGATCAAATCGGCTAGTCAACTTCATGCCAAACTATTTGAGTAAGCCATTGTGATTATTTTATATCAAATCACTCCATTTGGTTCAATTCTTATATAGTAACAGTGCAAAGATCGAGAAAGGCATCGGTTGTGAATTCTTAATGGTGCTAGTAGCGTTGTTCATCACTATTGGTTGTTTAATAGTATCTTTCATTGCCAACTGGCAATTGACCTTGATCATGCTATGTTTGTTGCTTTTGGTCATTGGTAGCTCATTTTTCTTGTCTAAGGTATGAAGTAATGTTCAATCAATTGAATCTCTATGAATTGTTGCAGCTCATTGCTAATGAAACAATGAATGAGTTAATGACATACTCTAAAGCAGGACAAATCGTTCAAGAAGTGTTTAGTTCACTAAGAACTGTTCTTTCTCTCAATGGTAGCAAATTTGAGCAAAAACGGTAGACAAACATATAAATATAGTTTACTCATATGGCATCATAATGCATGCTGCTTTTTTTATTGTATTTAGATATGAAAGAGAATTGTATTCATCTCGCTGGAGTAACATACGCCAAGGTTTCATGTATGGAGTACATTTGGGATGGCTAGCTCTAAAAACCTATCTAGTTTATTCAGTTGGCTTTATCTTTGGTTCTCTTGTTATGTCGCACAAAGATCATCATAGTTTGAATATTACTGATATTCTTATCGTAAGTAATTCATATAATCATTCAATATGCATATGCGGCTACTATTTTGATGCAGGTCGTCTTCAGCTTTACACGATGCTTGACCTTCTATAATGTTGTTGGTCTTTTGTTTCAATCTATTTCAGAAGCTCAAGGTGCAGCAGCAGCGGTGTTTCAACTTATTGACGAGGTAAATCTGAGTAAATTGAGGTCTCATATCGATAGCAATGCTTTTCATTTGTTTACATGATGTAGGAAAATGAAGCAAGCATCAATGAAACAGATATATGGAAAGAGGATACAAAGTCGATTTGTAACATCAGTGGTGATATTGAATTTGACAATGTTAACTTTAATTATCCATCTCGAAAAGAAGCATCAGTTCTGCATAACCTCTCTCTTATTGCACGTGCTGGTCAGACAATTGCCTTGGTAGGTTCGAGTGGTTGTGGTAAGTCTTTTTAAAAACAAAAATGTTAAAATGATTTCCTTTCTGTTCATAATTTATACATAGGAAAAAGTACATGTATATCACTGCTTCTTCGTTACTATGAACCTCAGTTGGGTCAAATAATGATCGATGGTCGACCAATCACAGATTACAATGTCAAACAACTTCGACAAAGTATTGGAGTTGTTAGCCAAGAGCCTGTATGCTTTACTTTTTTTCTTTTTTCTTTTCTCACTTTCTATTTGATTTTTTATTGTAATAGATTCTATTTAGTATGAGTATTTATGAAAATATTCGTTTCGGTAAAGTAAATGCAACAAGAGCAGAAATTGAACAAGCAGCACAAGAAGCAAATGCACATAATTTCATCATGCAATTACCAGATGTTTGCACCAAATATATACATTTATCTACATATATGTATCATTATGTTTTGTTTAGAAATATGAAACACTAGTTGGTGAACGTGGTATACAGTTGAGTGGTGGTGAAAAACAACGTATTGCATTAGCTCGTGCTCTTGTCAAGCAACCTAGTTTCCTTTTACTGGATGAAGCAACAAGTGCACTTGATAATGTTAACGAAAAAATTGTTCAAGAAACACTTGATAGGGCATCCAAAGGTAATAAATGCTTTTTTTTGCATATCATATTGATATATCATTCTGTACAGGTCGTACAACTATTGTTATTGCTCATCGTTTGGCCACAATTCGAAATGCTCATCAAATATATGTATTAGATAATGGAAGTGTGATTGAGCAAGGTACACATGAAATATTAATGGCAAAGAAAGGAGGAAAATATCAAGCAATGGTCAAACATCAACAAATGGAAAAAATCGATGATAACATAGATGATATGATGAGCATGCAAAAAGCGAAAGAAGAAGATGAAAAGTGGATATGTATGTTAATATTCTAATAGAAATAGTTTTCATTTTCATTTGTCTTGTATTTTAAACAGTTGAACGCTCTCGTTTACTTAGCGATAGTGGAATTGTTGATGTGAACAAAGTACACACACTAGTGCATTACTTCATAAAAATCAATTGATAATTTCTATTTTAGCAAAGTTCGAAGCCATTCAGGCGAAAGTTTGTCTTTTTAAGACTCTTGTCAATGAATAGCCCTGAGTGGATCACGATCTCGGTTGGGTGTATAGCATCTGTACTTTGTGGCGGAGTTCAACCATTGTTTGCATTTCTACTTGCCAAAATAGTCGATGTGAGTAATCTACTTATATAAACATCGTGCGAAAAGATTGACACGAGGACATCGTCTACTTTCGATTTATTTATTGCATAGGCATTCAAATGTTGTTCAATCTCTGAACAACGTCGTCAAGTGTTGATTACCAGTCTTCTCTTTTTACTTTTGGGTGTTGTTTCATTGATTCTTCGGATCTTTCAGGTGAAATATTTGCTTCTGAGTTTCATCAATAAGTCATTCACTCTTTTCTATAGTATACAGCTTTTGCTATATCAGGATCGAAATTGACGCAATGCATTCGTTCGAAAGCTTTTGAATGTCTACTTCGTCAAGAAGTTGCATATTTCGATAGACCTGAAAATAGTTCTGGTGCAATTTGTGTTCGTCTTTCCTCTGATGCGTCAGCTATCCAAGATATGACGGGTATACGATTAGGATTCATCTGTGAAACTATCGCGTTATCGTTTTTTGGAATTCTGTTTGGATGTCTCATAAGTTGGCAATTAACATTGATCGTTTTTGGTCCTCTTTTAATCCTATTCTCAGTCACATATGCGGATGTGTCCTTAAATATACGGTTGAATGAAAAATCTGGTCAAATTATCGGACGAGCAAGCGCGGTAAGTTATGATTTTACCTTATTATTGTTTTTTTTTGCTAGGGAAAATTAATTTATCATGAATTGTTTGATAAATCAAATTCACTAAATTCAATCTGAATTTTACTTCTGCAGCTTACTGCTGAAGTTCTTCACAACATGTATACAATAAAACAGTTGTCAATAGAAAAGGAAGTTTTACGACAATATTCTGCACTTGTTCATGAAGTATTTCTGTTAGTCAATCGACTTCTATACATGATTGAATTTTCATTCGATCTTGCTTTATCATAGATTGTCTTGGAAACCTGTCATAATACATTCAATTGCATATGGTCTATTGTGGATGGCAGAGTCATACACTATGACATTTGTATATTGGCGTGCTCTCGTCCTTATTGAAAAGAACGAACTTACCTCGAACCATATTTTGATGTAATTAAAAATACAGTTTGATAATCTAGACATAACGTTTTACTATCATTTCAATATATTAGGGTCTTTACTTTTGCTGTATTTTCGTTACAAGCAGTAAAAATCATCGGAATGACGTAACACTCTGAATTTCTACTTTGCTTTTTCTTCTGCTGTCTCCGTTGTAGGTCTAAGCGTATCGCTGCATCAGTTTCAGCTGCTAAAACATTTTTTGATTTATTTGATCGAAACCCAGCTATCGACAATACATCTATTGAAGGCCAAGAATTGGTAAGAAAATATAGAAGATTACTATTTTCTTTCAATCATGAATACATCATGTATGTTATGATTGGTGTAGGTTGATTTTCATGGAGAGATAAAATTTGATCAAGTCAAATTTATCTATCCAACTCGACCAACATCTATTGTTCTTAACAAATTTCAATTGAACATCAAGCCGAGTACGATAAATTTCGATTTAATCATTTTTTTAAAAAATTTTATTCACTGTTAAGGTCAACGTGTAGCTCTTGTTGGTATGCTTGAATTAAATGCTTCTTTTAAGTGTTAATTATATAATATGATGTGTATAGGGGCATCCGGATGTGGAAAATCAACAATTATTCAGCTGTTGGAACGATTTTATGATGTTACAAGTGGTCAACTAGTTAGTATTGGGTTGGTAAGAAATTTTTGTCGTTTTTTTTCGTAACTTCCTAGAACAGTCAAGAAAGTTCTAGAAGTTTCCATACTAAGGGTATATAAAGGGAGTGTAAATATCTTTCGAACAACAATAAAACTATGGATATAGATACTGATCTCGAATTAGAAATGAAAATATCTCGTAGAGAGCTCCGGTTGCTTCTGCTTCATGAATTCCGTCTGGATCACAAAACAACAGAAGCAACAAGCAACATATGCCATACGATGGGCAAGGATGTGCTCTCCATTCGTACAGCGCAACGTTGGTTCAATGAGTTCAAGAACGGTAACTTCGAACTCGATGATTTACCTCATACTGGAAGACCACTAGAGGTGGATACGGATCTCTTAAAGGAGCTTATCGAAGAAGATCCTAGATTGACTACACGGTGTTTAGCAGAGCGTCTTGGGTGCTCTCATATTACAGTGGAAACACATCTGCACGAATTAGGCAAAACGTGGAAATATGGATTTTGGATACCCCATGAGTTATCACCACTTCAGATGCAATATAGGGTTGATGTTTGTATGGAATTGTTGACTTCTCATTGCAACTATCAATGGCTCCGCAATCTTATTACTGGTGATGAGAAGTGGGTGTTGTATATTAACTACCAACGTAGACCGCCAGTGGCTGAGCGCTGGTCAAGCAGGTGTACCAACGCCTAAGACTGATCTACACCCAAAGAAGGTGATGCTGAGCGTGTGGTGGGGAGTCAAAGGGATTATTCGTTGGGAAATTCTTCCAGACGGCTGCAACATCACAGCTGATCTCTACTGCCAGCAATTGGATCGGGTTGCAGAAAAACTCAAAGAAAAACAAGATCGAATTTACTTTTTACATGATAATGCCAGACCCCATGTAGCAAAGTCGACACGCCAAAAGTTATTGGAGCTTGGTTGGATCACTGTTCCCCATCCACTTTATTCTCCAGACTTAGCTCCTACGGACTACCATCTGTACCGTTCTCTAGACAATCATTTACGTGAGAAAAAGTTCGAAGATGAGAACGACCTCAAAATGGATTTTCTCAATTTCTTCGACCAAAAGTCTCAAGACTTCTACGAACAAGGGATCCTTTCTCTACCAGAGCGTTGGCAACAAGTCATAGACAGTAATGGAGCAGACATTGTTGATTGATAATTGTATTCTGATATTTAAAAAATAAAAATAAAATTTTTGAAAAAAACGACAAAAATTTCTTACCAACCCAATATTTCTTCGACATATAGTGCAAATAATTATGAAAAAAATTTTCATTCAATTTAGCTTCTTGATGACATTGATATTCGAAAACTAAACATTCATTGGGTCCGTTCTCATTTTGGCCTTGTGAGTCAAGAACCAATTTTGTTCGATTTAACAATTGCTGAAAATATAGCATATGGCTTAGAAAATGTTCCAATAGAAGATATTATCAATGCAGCACGTAAAGCTAATATTCATCAATTTATTCAGAAATTGCCTCAAGTTAAACAATACAAAATTATGTAATGTATCTATTACTATTTTATATATCTTTTAGGGTTATGAAACAAAAGTAGGGCGGAAAGGCAGTTTTCTGTCAGGTGGTGAGAAGCAACGTATTGCTATTGCTCGTACTCTTCTTCGTCAACCTAAAGTATTGCTCTTAGATGAAGCTACAAGCGCTATGGATTCACACAACGAACAAGTTTGTTTATTTTTCTATTTATCAATTAAAGCTTCCTCTTCACTGATCAATTTTAGATTGTACAAGAGGCTCTTGAAAAAGCTCAAAGAGAAGATCCTAGTCGAACATCACTCATTATTGCTCATCGTCTTTCAACTATTTGTTCATGCGATTTGATCTGTGTACTTGATAGAGGACATATAGTGGAAAGTGGTACTCATACAGAATTGATAGAACGACGTGGCGCTTATTATAAAATGCTGGCTAAAAATAATTTACAATGATTATCAGTGAACTATTTTGAAACTGAAAATACACTTAATCAAGTATTAACAGAAACTTTGCCTAAAAACTCTGACACATAAAATATTACATTGCTCAATTTACTCTACGATTATTACACTTCATAATAAATTGATTGTTTCATTGAATTACAGCATATTGCATCGATTGTTTTTAGCTTATTAATCATATTTGAACATAGTACAGATAATCATGATCTCAATAGCTACTTAGAGTGTGATTAAGGGTATGAGTGTGGATGTGGGTGTGGGTGTGAGTGTAGGTAGGTGGCGCGGGTGTGAGTGTACGTGGGTGAAGCGGATGTGGGTATAAGTGTGCGTGTGAGTGTGGTTGTGGCGTTCATAAAGATATAACTCACATCCACACACACCCAAATGGATTATAATCATAAGGTTTTTAGTGATTTTGCTTTGTGATAAACGAAAAATTGCTTCACGCAAGTTTTAACGGTTTGCATCAAAAAGAGCCGATTTTTTTAAAGTTTTAGTCGAGTGTAATCAGAGCCAATGGTATTATGGATGAACTTTGGATCTTCTTCGATCAGAGTCGTTGAAATAATTACTAAAAATAGGTAAAAATTGCAATATAATAATAAATTATTAATCCATTTCATTATGATTTCGTCCCTAATTGTTTTGTACATCGATGCGAACGGATTAAAAAGTATTTTCGTTTACTTTTCCTATAATGGTGAGGGTTATAGTTTTTCTTCCTAGACTTTAATTGTTTATAAGTGCGATAACTAGATATGTAATGCAAGATTGTTTCCTAACACAAGAGGAAATAAGAAAGTAACTGAAAAAGGCTATTTAAGGCTCCTCTCAAGGAAAGTCACTTTTCATCAGAATGATCGAAGTTTAGGTAAATGACAGAAAGATAGCCGTCATCTGGTCTATTCTATACGACAAAAATATTTACTCACCACTTCACTTTTTCTACGAATTCTTGTGTATTTCCCTTATTTTCTTTCCGAAAAATAAGCTGCTTTTAAAAAAAACTAAAAATCTTTCCCATTTTATAGGTTTTTGATCGCCTTTCTAAGAATTCTCAAAGGAACTTCATTGTAGCCAATAACATTTTCTTGTTTCGAAGCTCGTGTTCAGAACTAGCCGTATTGTATCCTTTTTTTAATGACGTTTTTTTATTATCATTTAAGAAAACAACTCTATAGAAACAGCTCCTTTTTTAGAGTTTTTTTAAGTCATTGAACTTGTCATCCGTTTTCTTTGTTAAAAGAATGAGAATTTAAAAAAAAGACCACGAGTGAGGCTAACCCTGAACATGAGCTCTAAACCAAAGAATCAAATTTATAGAATAAAGGCCTAAAGACTACTCTTGAACATACGATCGAGCTACTTCTGACTCTTATTCGATGGGAATCTTTGTCAAACGTCATGATATAGGGCTGGAAACATTAACATAGTTTTCTCATACCAGTTCCAACAAATTCTGAGAGTTTCATGCTACTTGAATATTGCTAGTCTGAGACTGAGGTGTGAGTGCGGGTGTGCAGAGGTGTGCACTCTAAAAAATTTCCGTATTGTGGGAAACCGACCTGAAAGGATTTCCGAACGCTCGGAAACCCAAATCCGTTTCCGACATTGACTCGGAAACCCTTTGAGGATTTTCGAAGAAAAAAGATGGGTTTCCGAAAGCTCGGAAACCCTTAATAGGTTTCCGATAGTAACAAACTCGGAAACCGAAAAAGGTTTCAGACAAAATAAACCGTTTCCGAGATTCGGAAACCCTTTTCGGTTTCCGAGTTTGTTACTATCGGAAACCTATTAAGGGTTTCCGAGCTTTCAGAAACCCATCTTTTTTCTTCGAAAACCCTCAAAGGGTTTCCGAGTCAATGTCGGAAACGGATTTCGGTTTCCGAGCGTTCGGAAACCCTTCCAGGTCGGTTTCCCACAATACGGAAATTTTTTAGAGTGTGGGTGTGGGGTGCGCGTGTCCTTATAGTTTGAGAATGTCATACTTATATCTACTCATCGACACCAACATCATAGCCCATACCCATACTTATACCCACACCCACACCCACACCCACATCCACACACTCACAGCCACAGCCACAGCCACACCCACATTCACGCCTCCACACTGGAAAAAAAAAGAGTAGAATATTAAATCTTTGCCCTATCTGCAATTTTTCATAAACCCTTGAAGGGTTTGGGAGCCGAAGGGTTTATGAAAATAAAAAGGATTTATTAAGCTGAAATTTAGGGACAATGGTTTATTATTCTACGTATAAGGGTAGATTATTCTACGCTTCCGTGAAAAGGGTTTATTATTTTTCGCATAAGGGTATATTATTCTACGTTTCCGTGAAAAGGGTTTCTTATTCTACGTATAAGGGTAGACTATTCTACGTGTCCATGAAAGGGGTTTATTATTCTACGTATAGGGTAGATTATTCTATACTTCCATGAAAAAGTTTATTATTTTTCGCATAAGGGTAGATTGTTCTATGTTTTCATGAAAAGGATTTATTATTCTGAAGCTTAAGAAAAATAGTTTATGATTTTTTTGTGAATTCTTGTTGTTAAGTACTGAGCAAAGGATACTTTTTTTTAATGTAAAGGGTGTTCCAGAAGTTCTGAAACGATTTTGAAATTTATTATTCTCGCGTTCAACATATCAAACTTCTTGAAACTTTCGCTGGTTATTAGACATGCTTAGTACTATATAGCACCAAAGTTTCAGGTCTATAGCTTGTACTACGGATGAGAACCAGTAACAACACTAACATGTACTATTTTTTCAATTTTCCTGATCATTTTAACGATGACACATAATGAATGGGTGTGTTTTGCATTTCAAATTTCGATCAATTAATCCGTTGTATTAAAAAAAAAACAAAATATATCACAAGATGCAGCATGAAAAGCTCTACAATCTATCAAGCAAAGCTTACTTTAATTGTGTACTTTTTGTTTTCAAAAAAAGCAAAATTCTAGGCGACCAATTTTCGACGCTGCACAAATATTATTTTTTTTCTACAGGAATAATTTCTTTTTTCTTATTTCATCTTTTCATCACCTAATGCATTTTATTTCAAAAATAAATATACCACAAGATGGAGCGTTAAAAGTACTACAATTTACAAAGTCGAGCTTATTTTAATTGTGTACTTTTCATTTCTAAAACAAGCAAAATTCTATGTGATCAATTTTCGATAGTACAAAGAAGATAATTTTTTGGTACAAGAGTAATTTCTTTTCTTCATAGCGTCGAAAGTAGATCACCTAGAATTTTGCTTTTTTTGAAAACCAAAAGTACACAATTAAAGTAAGCTTTGCTTGATAGATTGTAGAGCTTTTCATGCTGCATCTTGTGATATATTTTGTTTTTTTTTTTAATACAACGGATTAATTGATCGAAATTTGAAATGCAAAACACACCCATTCATTATGTGTCATCGTTAAAATGATCAGGAAAATTGAAAAAATAGTACATGTTAGTGTTGTTACTGGTTCTCATCCGTAGTACAAGCTATAGACCTGAAACTTTGGTGTTATATAGTACTAAGCATGTCTAATAATCAGCGAAAGTTTCAAGAAGTTTGATTGTGCTGAACGCAAAAATAATGAATTTCAAAATCGTTTCAGAACTTCTGAAACATTCTTTATTTTATGACACGAAATAGCGATTCTATATTTTTCGTCAATTCTAATAGAAAATATATTCCTTTTTTTATTATCCACTTATGAGGAAAGTATCTGAAGTGTCTCCTGTACTTCGAGCTCATATCTTGCCCACAAGTAGACCTCAATGTCAATAGTCAAAGTCTAAAAGGATTCATGTCCATGGGTTGTTGAAGCTGACTTATGACCATTTCAGTAGATTTTTGATTTCAGACAAGGCATTCATGCAAAAACCAAACGATGGTATTTTGACCTGAAATTTTGCCCACAGAGAGACCTCATGATTATTAAATTGTTCTAAAAATCTCAGTCAAAACGGATGCTTTATCCTTGAGATATCGAATTTTCAAAACTGTTAAATTTGCTGACTTTTCTATGACATATGATCATTGTTTAACCATCCAATATGTTAAGGATAAAGCATTCGTTTTGACTGAAACTTTTAGAACATTTTAATAATCATAAGGCGTCTCCATGGGCAAAATTTCAGGTCAAAATACCATCGTTTGATTTTTGCATGAATGCCTTGCCTGAAATCGAAAACCCACTGAAATGATCATAAGTCAGCTTCAACAACCCATGGGCATGAATCCTTTTAGGCTTTGGCTATTGACATTGAGGTCTACTTGTGGGCAAGATATGGGCTCGAAATCGAGGGGACACTTCAGGTACTTCCCTCGTTAGTTACAGTGATCGCGTATAGATCATTCTTTCTTAATCGAGAAAATTCTTATTTGTTTTGTTCAGTTAAGTCATCGAAAAAGATTCTTATTTTTCTTTTTAGTTGAGACATAGATAAAGATTATTCATTTTTCGTTCACTTGAGATATAGAAATAGACTCTAATTTTTTCATTTACTTGAGACATAGAAAATTATTCCTTTTTTTGTTCAGTGAAGTTATAAAAATGGATTCTAGTTTTTTTTGTTTGGCTGAGATATAGGAAGAGATTCTTATTCTTTGTTGAGTTGAGATATAGAAAAAATTCTTATTTTTTCATTTTGTTAAGACGAAAGAAAAAAAATCTTATTTCTTCATTTGCTTGAGATATGGAAATAGATTCTTATTTTTTGTTCAGTTAGGTGACAGAAATAGATTCTTTTTGTTTTCGTTTAGTTGAGATATAGGAAAAATTCTTTTTTTTTCGTTTAGCAAAGATGTAGAAAAATCTTTTTACTGTTTCGGTTAGTTGAGACATAGAAATAGAGTCTTTTTTATCGTCTAGTTGATATATAAATATAGATTCTAATTTTTTTGTTTAGTTGGGATATAGAGAAAAATTCGTATTTTTTTGTTGAGTTAAGACATAGAAATAAGATTCTTATATCTTCTTCTAGTTAAGATATAGATAAAGATTCAATTCTTTTGTTAAGTTGAACTATACAAATAGATTCCCATTTAAGCATCCTAATACAGAGCATTCTTTTTTCCTCACATATAAGAGATAATAATCATCACCCTACACTTCCATCCATTCTAATAATTCTTATTAGGTTATAGGATGGATCTCATAAACCCTTAAAGGATTTAGCCTACGTTGCATTTTTCCAACCCCTTATAAGGGTTTATGAAAATGATATACCCTTTCCTAAACCCTTTTTAAGGGTTTAGAAGATGACTTGTATACATTAAAAGGATTTATAAAAGAGTTTAGAAGATCTATTCTATATCCTAAAAGAGTTTATGAAAGGATTTAGGAGATCTATCCTACACCTAAAAGAATTTAACAGATCAATCCTGTACTCTAAAAAGGATTGAGGAGATTTATCCTATACCTAAAAGGATTTAGAAGATCAATCCCATGTTCTAAAGATGGTTTGAGGAGATCGATCCTATACCATAAAAGATTTAAAAC